GTCATGGATGGAGGAGATAAAAATCCATTAGGTTTTTCAATTATCACAAACAGCCACTGTTGAGAGTTCACTAGGTCAGTCTGCTATCAAGCTGTCTGCCAAACATTTTTTAATACAAATCTTTCACACTTTCTGATCTCCCAGAGCCGTCTTGCCTCGCAGTGTGAGCTAGTGGGGAAGGTGGAGGAAAGTGCCAGGACAAGAATTATAATCATGTGAACTGAAATGTGAAAAAAACAAATAGGCCAGCTACTCCACTGAGACAGCCCCAACGATGGGAAAAAAATGGTGGCATTGTCAACAAATATGCAAAGCCAGGCTGCAGTTGTCTCAAGGGAGTCTGTAGAAAACAGGTGCCCTTTCCCTGCAGGTATTCCCCTCCTGCACTAATGAGAGGCATGTTTCTACGCGGCATTAAAATTAAACTCTGAACACTGACTGCGCTGCATTGCACCTGTTGAGTTTACCTCAACATGCTTCACTCATCTTTGTTTCACCAGGTTGCCCATTGTGTGTGATTATCATTAGAATATGTCACCAAAAGCCCTATTTAACAAAGGAGAACCAAACTGTGGAGCAGCCTTCAGTTAAATATCAAGGTGTCGAAAACAAAAAGGACTTCCGGGAGTTTAGGTCAGGGTTTATCCAGGTTACAAGTTGCTGAGTCATCATAAACTAGAAAAACTCATCATCTGACTCATCATTTAGATATTGTTTAGTTGTTGTATTTTGAGGTGGATATTCATTTTTGGATTAGTTTTTACTGATGTAGTTTGGGTTTTCAAGACGTTTTTCCGTCGGGGACCATGTTAAATATAAGTAGGGCTGGGGGGAAAGAAAATCACTGGATTAAGAGATTAGTCAATTGACATTGAAAATGAATCAGAAAGTAATTTTTCAAGCAGAAATGCCAAATATACCCAGTTCCAACCTTTACAATGTGAGGATGTGTTCTTTTTCAGCTTATACAAGGGTACCTCAGTATCTTTGACCGTTATTATACTATATTCACAGAGCACCGTGAGACACAAACATGCAACCAAAGAGGACTGACTTTGCCACGCCGTGATTCAGGATATCCTGATATATCCTGTTTATTTGGCGGCAAACACACTTTTCACACCTCCTTAAAATGAAATGTGTTGTTAGTTACACCTTGCGATACTGCTACATTTGTCTGATTAATGCAAATGAAGACATTCACTGGACACAATACTGGATTACACTTCTCCACTAAACTGAACCCTGTAATCCTAAAATCCAAACCTGACCTTGAAAATATCTGCAGTTTGCAATTAATGTTTAGTTTCTTGTGGAGTCAATTGGTCTTTAAATTAAAACTCAAAAACATAAAAAATACGTTCTGTTTTAATATTATTACATCCCAGATAGGGACCCAGACACAAAACATAATTAGTGATCTTTAGTTTAAAAGATGAGCCTGATCAGCCTGATATATAAACGTGCTGCAGTGTGGGTAGACATTCACACTCGTGCAGTCCCTCACCTCAGTGTCCTGACTCTTGCTGTTCCAGCGTGGGTTCAGGTGGCCGACACGTGCGCTCAGCGTGGTGGAGATGGAGTAGCGGGCCTCTCCGTCAAACTGTGAAATGCCATTGTCTATAGCATCTACTTCCTCCACAAAGTTCTCGTACAGCTGCAAGGAATTGAAAGAGATGTGTGACAGAAAGGTTATGAAGGTGTAATGACACAGGAATCAGCCGTTTGTGCTCATTCTGAAAAGGAAGAATTGTCGGTAAAAGGGGAAGTAATGTACTGGGATAACAGTATTCTGATTGAAATCCACTTGGTCACAGTGTGTGGGCAGTAACCGAAGGCTTAAGGGCACGGCTATGCCATTAAACCAAAAGGAAAAGACAAATTGCTGCTATTTTACAGTTCACTAGGAAAAATTGAAAAAATAAAGAAAGGAGAGAGAGAGAAGAGGAATATTTAGTGCTGGAAACTCAACTCTTCAGTACACCGGAAGGTCAATCACCAAAGAGTTGACATTTTACAAGTGGCTTACAACTGGAACTAAGTTTTGGGGCAAAAATAGAGGTTCAGTTGTCTGAAGTGCCAGAAGACGACACATACTACATCCTAAAATAAATAAAGCTCCCGCCATGAGTAAAAGGATTAATTGGGGCTTTACACAAACTGACACATCAAAAGGCCAATGAAAATATGAGTTAATAGGGCTAATATTTATTTGCCAGCTTAATAGGCCTAGCCATCAAAACTGTTCTGCGTGCCGAGGCCTCCTGCTGGCCTGGCTGTCTAAATATAACTGCAGTGTCCTCAGTTTGAATTTGGCAGAGGAACTTTGCCACATCCCTGTCTCTCTCCCTTTTTATTCCTAAACACACTCATCTGCCAATTGTCTGATTGAGGCAAAATGCCCATAAAATAAACTTTAACAATAAACATTCAGCATTTTCTAAAGAGTGAAAGCAACACTTTAAAGCAACCAACATGGAGATAAGTGTAATTCTATTGTATTTAATAAGTGATGAGCTAGTTTTCCTCTTTACATCTTAATAGACGTTTCTGAAATTGACAGCGTTTAGGCTGCTCAGGCGATACATCTGTTTGTGTTGTGAATGAAACACAATGGTTGCTAATCCATTGTCTGCAATAAATACCGTCTTTACCCTCTCACCTTGTCAAAGAGCATCTCCAGCTGCCTGTCACCCTCTTTCAGCTGCGTCAGCTGGGCCAGCAGCTGACGACCGAAGTGTAGGTACACCAAGCCAGCTGAGCTAAGCTTGGTCACCCATGGCTTCTCTGGACACAGGCTGTGGAAGCTCTCTGTAAAGGTCCTAAACAAAGGGAAGACATTCAGAAATGGCATCTTAACACACTTCATCTCATTGTAAATTGAATACTTGAATACATTTATTGGCTGTGGGAACTTAATGTACAAATACAAAAAAATAATAAATAGATAATCTATAATAAAATAATATCTAGTTAGAGTCAGAGCTAGGGCTGCACAATATGGTATAAAAATATTGCAATTATTTTGACAGATTGACAGCAATTGTGATATGACCCTCAATTAGTGTGGGAATGATCATTTTTGTATCTCAAAAAATGTCAAACTCATTTACACATTTTACCTTTATCAGAAAATTGTAGCTTCTGAGATTTGTATATTCCACCTGTCCATATTGTGATTTCGATAATATTTCAATTACTTGTGAAGCCCTAGTCAGAACTGCAATTATCAGTCAATTATTCAATTAGTCAAGCGACTATTATTCTGACATTTTTTATTTGAAAAAAAGAACTCCCTAATCCCTGCTTCTTAATTGTGATGATTTGCTGCTTTTCTCTGTTTAATATCACTGTAAACCGAATATCTGTGAGTTATTGACTGTTGGTCAGAAGTAGTGAATATAAATTACTGTAGGTTTCTTTGCGTGTGTAAGGAAAATGTTATTAACTTATGAGCTGAAGAGATCAACTTGTTTGCTGATATTTGCAGTATTCCAGTATTGCAACATAAGGCATGTAAGGTATTAAGTTTATATCAATGCTAAGAGCTGAAAAACACTTGATGGTCTGTAGGCAGATGATATCCAGCATTCAATACTTAAGCACAGGATTGGGAGATTAAACATTAGTGTTTTGCTCATAAACAAACTATTCACATTTTTTCCAATAACTGGCCTCTTCAATCAAATGTCTGCTGCATTCAGATAATTGCATCCATAGATATTCTCTTCACCCTCAGAAAGCGGGTTTGCATTGACCGGAGAGAGAAAGCATGCTCGAGTGTGTTTGTAAGCGTGAGCACATAAATGAAAGCCACCGGAGGTCTCTCCTCAGCCACGTGCTGGGATGGGTGGGCTCCAGCACTGAGCCACTGCTGGTCATTTAATTCAGGCTTAATTAGGATGCTTGGGCTGCAGCACAGCGGAAAACAGACCGTCAAATGAATGAGTGACATGCTAGGGAAGCAGGGGGTAATCACAGCCATTAAAAGGGCTAATTGGCCAAGCTGAGGCATTTCTATGCTGATTATCAGGAGATGGAAGTGAATGGGCGAAAGGAAAATGACTGAAAAAGACATGCTTACCAAAAGAGACGTCATCAAACTGTTTGTGTGAAATCAAGTTACTTCTCCCAGTAAAATAGCATTTAATACACACAACTGACTCAAGGTAAGTCAGTAGAGTAGATAACAAAAACAAGATTTCTGCAAGAGTTTAGTATTACAAAGCACTGTTAAAACATACTCAACATATAATGTACTACTATTCCCACACTGCACCAGATGAACCACTTTTGCTCATCACTCTAAATCATTATAAATAATGGTTTTATTGCATTAGTATTTACAGTGTGCGGAAAATTATGCTTCATGAATCTTTCCCCTACTCGAAGCATCATAAGAAACTCAAGCACTTTTTAAAAAACAATATTACTGGCCAGTCATTTCCCATTACTCTGAGCCCAGTAGTCCATTAGAGTGATAGGACAGATACAGACTGTTGTATTAAAGCACTGTGTGGGCTTTCATGAGCTTTAAACGTTAACATTTTCACACAATAAAAGGCCAATGTCACTGTAATGTCAGTGCCTCTCTGACTACTGGAGAACCATTCAACAGTCCAACCCCTGACTGACCTATCTCCTTACAACAGTATTTCCTGTGGTTTATAAAGAAACTCTTCAGTCTGACAAATATATTATATTTTAACAAAGAAATTCCAAACTGGTTTAAGAAATTCCAATTGATTACTCAGTCACAGATGGTGGGGAATGTTTATTTAGATATCACTGTGACCTTCAGTACTGTAGAGTAGACTAAATGGTCTTATAGAAACTGCAATGATCTCCAGGTCATCGCTGATTGAGCGCGTACCTTACTAATGGATTCATAACAATTGTGAACAATTTAATATATGTAACACAGTGCTGCCAGATTAGGGATAGCATTAAACATTTGGACAGATTTAAAAGAGGAATTGTCAATGCCTGCATTTATTTTTACATTTATTGTGCACACGTGAATTACTATTGAGATACATACAAGGTTGCTGTGTCCATGAATCTGTCTTTGCTGGTTTGCAAGTAGCATACAGCCAGCGGAAGCAACTTAAACTACATAACAATACAAAGCTGCATAAAAGCAGTTTATCTATTAGATTTCTCTGCAAAATGCAGACAACATTCATCACTTTGTCGCAGTAGCAAAAATATTTTTGCTTACTTTTATTTCTTTGCTGAGTGGGAGCCATAAATGCAGTTCTAGTGTGAGCAACCACAAAAGTAATCCCTGGCAGATCTAATCTGTTTTGTTTTATTAACCTTCGGTCGGTGTTTAGAGAACATTTCTCATGCTTCCAACTCTATTTCCATCCCTGCACAAGAAACTTCAAAGACAAAAGTTTACCATATATGCAGAACTTTCTCACATTAGACGCCGTCTTAAAGAAGAAAAAAAGGATTCACCAATGTTTTTTTTGTCTTTAGGCTTCAATAAGGGGAAATTATCTGTAGTCTGCAGTCAGTCTATATTAGTAGGGTTGCACCATATGGTAAAAACATCATATTGCGATTCTTTTGACAGACAATCGACAATTATGTGGGAATGATAATTTTGGCATCACAAATTGAATTTTCATCACAAAAAAAAAAAATTTCACATGATGACATGAAGTTTTTGAGGGTTTGTAGCAAACAAACATTTTTTTGTAGACCAGGGAACCTCTGCAAAAGTACTTAATTATAATGCTGTTTTGTCACACATTTTACCTTTATCAAAACATTACAGCTCTTGAAATTTGCATATTGCGATTTTGATAATATTTAGACTAATTGTGCAGCCCAAAGTTTGGATGAAAAACAAGCAAAGATCCCCTATTAATTGTTCTTAATCCAGTCTTTAAATAGATAGTTCAACATTTTGGGAAACACCCTTATTTGCTTTCTTGCCAAGAGGTTATTCTTAAAATAATCACTGGTGCCAACCGGCCCTCTCTCCATTCAGGACTTATACATATCCAGAGGCAGGAAATAGGCAGAAAACATCACTGTACACCCATCCCACCTTAAACCCAACCTGTTCCAACTTCCCACCACTGGTAGGCGCTAGAGATCTGTGTACACCAGACAACCAGACACAAGAACAAAAAACATGTTCTTTCCTCACGCCATCTCTATGATGAACAGTTAATATCAGTCACATATTGTCAGACACAATCTGACACTATATATTTCAAATACACTTTGCACACACAAAGCTGCTGAATATTCAGTATATTAACATACATAAGTTAAATGCAAGCATATACAGCAACCTGTTCCTTCGTGGAGTCTCAGATGGTTGCCTGGCAACCTCACAGTGACAACAACACTCTAGGAAGTCCAGTCATGTAATAGTCCAGCGGTAAATGGAAAATTGGCGTTTTTATACTTTGATTTTGTACAGATTAATCAAACAAGATACAGCGTGTTAAATAGTGAGCTAGTGGGCATATTTTGTTACCTTTGAGACAGAGCCAGGCTAACTGCCCCCCCCCCCTGTTTCCAGTCTATATGCTAAGCTAAGCTAACTGACTGCTGGATCCAGTTTCATATTAAACATACAGATATAAGAGTGGAATCAATCTTCTCCAACTCTCCACAAGAAAGCAAATAAGCATATTTTTCCAAATGTTGAACTATGTCTTTAATAGCTCAATTTGACACTCTTATTTAAATATACTTACTGTGATGTATTGGTTATAGCTGTCAACTTCATCTGTACAGTGTCACAGTTTTGAAAAGGTGCTATTGAAATGAGGACTAATTGTTCTTGTCAGCTCCTTCTCCATCTTCCTCAAGCACCCCAATCCCACTTACATCCATCCCTGCCATCACAACCATCTTGCCCCCATCCGTGCATGTGAGTGACAGCCACATTCTCCCGCGGCCCCTCACAGTGTCGTGGCAGCCTCTGTGCCTCGTGAACCAACAGCAGGGGGGCGTTCAATTGAAGGAGTGCTAATTATCACTAACCACCTGCCAGGAAGAGAGCCCTGGCATATCTTTATCACCGTGGTCATAAAAGCTATCTCTGATTATCATCAGGACATTAAGCTGACAAGACATCTGGAATAGGCTGATTACTCAACGTGATGAGACTTCGAGTGAATGCAATCATTCGGAAGGAACTTTGGCAGGAAATTTAGCAGAAAACATAGAGCCTGTTCCTTCGTGATTCATGCAATTAGGTCGCTTCAACAGTGTCAGAACAGAAGCCGCAGAGAGATACAGTATCTCAGACCCCACATAATGAAATATGATTCCTTACACTTAAAAAACTGAATTTATTTTCTCAATGGATCGACTAACTACTTGGTCTGAAATAAAGTTTTTAAAAATTCCCCAAACCCAAGGTGACATTTCCAGAAGTTTTGATTGTTTTCATTACAGATGAATGAAAACAATAATGCTGTTTATTTTTTGGATTAATTGTTTTGTGTTTAAAATGCCAGAAATTAGTAAAATATATATATATATATATATTGATATTGTTTTTGTCTGTTTGCAATGATACAAAAACAGAGAAAGCAGTAAATCCAACTATTTGAATGGCTGGAAAAAAATACTCTTTGGCACAATATACTTACAGATAAATGTTACATCAATTGACTTATCAAATTAAATCCACTAACTGTTTCAGCTCCATCTGATGCAGATATATCCGTGCTAAACTAAGACTGACCAATAACATCTCTCACGGTGGCCAGTTCAATGACATGGCTTACTGGCACATCTAAAGGGAACAAGTGTTAGTAATATTAGTTACCCCTGTGGCTTTGCAGCTGTGACATGTCAAAATGTCTGACATGAAAGGGGCCTACTGTGCTATTTTACAGTGACTGGGTATTTCTTCCATCACTAAAAATATATTTTAGCATTATTTACATGTTGAATGATTTGAATTTAAAAAAAAAAACTTACTTACTTAGTAATTGCTTTGTAAAATTAATTTAGTACTTATAAAAAATAAAAATAAAACACTATCATAATTTGCAATATTAAAATAAACCCACAATATCATTACAATGACACAATGATACACAACAAATATTCATATAATTTCTGGTCTTATTCATTCCAAACATATACTGAAAACTTAATAAACTCTAATATCTTACCTCTGATGGTGGTCATAGCGATGCTTCTTGGGGTCAAACTCTCCTCCCACATCTACAACAATGTCACACTGTGCCAGCTTTGTCGGGTCCCTGGTCCGAATGATCTCTGCATCCTGTGCAATGAACAGAACGTTTTGTAGATCTGCAATCATCCATCATCAAGCATCTGATAGATTTGGATCCTGGTTTTATGTATGAGCTGCATTCAAGTTTTCTGAAGTGTTTAAATCTAAGAGCCGAGTGCATTTTAATCAGTTCTCTGAATACCATTATTATAGCAGGCTTGCAGCAAGAGCTCTAATGGGCACAATCTGTAATTTATGACCACATAAACTGCATGTAAATTCACATATATAAGAGTTTTTTTTAGATGAATAATAAGAATTATATCTGCTTCTTAGTTTATCTTTATGTTTGCTATCTCTTTTAATAAAGTACCTTGATTACTCAAGCATTTATTAACTAGATTTCCCAACAACTTCTCAATTCACTGTCAATAAATGTTACTGTACTAAAAGATACATAAATCAGTATCATTATATGAAATTAAATATCTTGTGACTAGTATGATGTTTTAAGTTTGGCTGTGGAGCTACAACTTGGTTTACATTTGGGACAAGAATTGATCATTACAGAAACAAATACTGAGAATCTCATTCATGCTAAATGGGTTGATTTCTTAATTGGTGTTCTAATTATGAATTAATTATTATTAAGTGAACTTTTCAGACAATAAGTCACTTTAAAAAGTCAATATACCCCTAAAAGGGAATGTGGAAACAAGATTACAGTGCTTGGAAGGTGTTGCTCAAGTTTTATGTTTATTTGACTGACCTTTTGATAATGTATTTTCTCCTAAAATGTAAAAATGTAAGATTATACTAGAATTATTACAGGTCTTTATGCCATCTTTTGAGAACACCATTCATCTGTACAGCAGCACCCCCATTTGGAGTATTATAACATGACATGGAGAGAAAAATGAAAGCTTCTCCCCAAAAAGAAAATAATAACAAAATCAGCAAATTCAGACTGAACAAACACCTTCAAATCACAACAACAGGCTTTTACATTGAAGCAGTAACAACACAGACTTTAACAGCAGCAGTAAGGGAACAGTAAGGGAACAGCAGGGGTTCCCTCCATAACCACAGCATACTGAACCTACCTTGTACTCGGGCAGCTGGCGGAGGAAGAAACAAGCCAGCACTTCATCACAATGAAAGGTGCCGTTGTGAGTTCCGATCTTCTGAACAGACATGTTTTCGGTGCAGAGCCTCTTGGGTTGACTGGACATGTATCTAGTTTCTGTGATAGTAACGACTGCAGAGAGGAAACGGCGGCGGCTGGCGTGTGAATGCAACAGGCGTGAAACACACCCCGGTTTGTTTGAGTTTATTTGAGACGTGGTTTTGGTTAAATTGCGTGCTATCGTACGTACACACCACATTCAAACGCGACTTTACACGAGAGGCGCTGGTGGCGGACACATTTGGCGGCCGGACCGGATGTGGTGCGCCTGTTTTGTGATCCGGGGAAAACGAAAACGTGTGTTGTTTTTTTTGTTTGTTTGTATTTTTATACATTGCCTTGTAAAAAGTCCTTGTGATAATAATTATATAACTGAACTGAAGCCGCAAATCTTATCTGTGAAATACATTTAAGAGATCAGAGTGAATCCTTATGGAAACTGACAGCAGGGGGCGCTGTTTGACATTTATACAGTACAGCAGTGGAGGAATGTAACTAAGTACATCTACTCAAGTACTACTTAAGTATCATTTTGAGGTGCGTATTTCCATTTGATGCTTCTTTATTCTTGCATGCATTTTGGATGCAAATATTTTGCATATTCCTCCACTACATTTATTTGTCATTGGTTAGGCTACTTTTCAGATTCAGATTATTGATTCAGAATGTAGGCTATATCTTGTTGTATTATTATGGATTAAAATACCTGGCAATATAAAGTAGTTGAAAACATCTTTAGAAGCTGCAACATCAGTGAAGCTTACATGTTAATACACAACTAATTATAATCCAGTGATATTACATTGTTCTGAAAAGAGCCATCCTGTATTGAGTGCTTTTACTTTTAAGTATATTAAGTATATTTTTATGTTAATACTTTTACTTTAGTGTAAATGAGTACGTAAAAGATCTAGTACTTCTTCCACCACTGCAGTACTGTAGCTACAGTATTTTTACCTTTGTATAATACCAAACAAAGAACATTTGAACAGGAATGAATACAAACTCAAACTAAGTCTAGTGGCTAAAATAACCCCAGGGCCCCTGACCCTCAGAGGCCCTTAAGACCACAGGTTCATTGTGTCAATTTGTTTTAATTTCAGAGGACCCTACAGCTATTTGCCTCAGGGCCCACTGGCAAATTAATCCAACACTGTGTATTAAAGGTAAATAGACGAATATTGCTTCTACCCTGTGGTCCCAAATAGATTAAAGTAATGAACAATTACTAAAAATTACAAAAATGGTCCTTGATGATCACAATTTGAGAGTGGGTGCTTACATAAATATAGACCAGGACAGTGATTTGGGGCAGCAGTAGTTCAGTCTGTAGGGACTTGGCTTGGGAACCAGATGGCCGCCCGTTCACGTCCAGGATGGCCCTCAGTATGGAGTGTGGACTGGCAGCTGGATAGGTGCCAGTTCCACTTCCTGTGCACAGCCAAGGTGCCCTTGTGCAAGGCACCTAACCCCTAACTGCTCCCCGGGCGCCTACGGCTGCTCACTGCTCCTAATGTATATAGTAAAGTATATAGGATGGGTCAAATACAGAAGACATTGTATACGTTTCATGTATGTAAAATGCTGTATATAGCTGCGGTGAAAATGAAAATAACGACTGATATTTAAAATGTATTTTTTTCTATTTATGATTTCAGATCACATCTGTGAGACCTTGTATGTTTTTGTTAAGATTTAAGATTCTGTTAAGGCTTCGTTTTCTTTAGTTAAGAGTTGGTAAACAGTACGATCAAATATGAATCACAACATTGGAACAGAGATGTGATCATTAAGGTCAGACTCAGCTCTCACCCTCAGCTCCCGTTCTCGCGGTATCCCCTTCAAGGTTTATTGACAAGGTAATTAACCATATGGGACCCCTGTAGTACTCGGACTAAACGGAGGCACCACGTCTTTCAGGGTTTTTCTCGTGTGGAAATCTTTTCTTTCTTCATTCGCAAACCGACAAACCAGTGGAAACCAAACGGCCAACACCGAGCCTGCCAAAGGTAGGTTTCTGAACTATGATTGCAGAATCTGTTTTCCTGCAGGGCATCATTAAGACCTCCGATGATGACAATCCTGTTCTGTTTGAATTGCAAATTGTGTGCACATATTGCACTAGCAGTAACGCGCGGAAAGATGCTATGAGTTTTAGAAAATGCAATTTCAGTTGTTTCGGGATAAGTGAGAACCTTTCAAGGTCACAATATTTTAATCAGTTAAATCTAGTCGGAGAATATTTGGTGCGATGTAGGGTTTATATTTACAACAGCCAGGTGGCGCTGTTGGTCAATCATTCTGCAGAGCTGCTCGGTCTTAGGGTTCTGGGTCGCACATCATCAGCTCCCTACAAACTCTTTATTTCAGCCTAATGAAATCGATAAACATTGATTTGAGAGGGGCTTCCATTTTCCTGAGAGGGTTAGGGTGTAGGGTTTCTCCTGAAAAAGACACCCATGGTCCATCTACTTGTTGTAATAACATAACATAACATCTCGCCTTTGATTTGCTTTAAATAAATCTTTTATATGTGATTTGAAAAGTTACGTGGGTTTGTAGTTGTTGTTTTTTATGTGTCAAAGTGGCCACAGTGTTGTGCAGAGCTTGTTTAACCTTTTAGTCTTGTATTGTGCCTTAAAGGCCAAAAACTGCCACTAGGGAGAGAAAGTTGCTTCAGTTACAGTTTCACTTGCTGAAAAAATAAAGCGTTTATAGAATCAGTGTTTAAATCACTTATAATAACAATAACTACATAAATAATGCCAGTTTATTGCAGTGTGTGTTTTAAAAGGGTTCATTTAGGTTAATAAAAATACAGTTTGTTTTCAATTGCTTCAGAATAATCAGATTGTAAGATTAAAAACTTACTAAGAACCTGCTATAGCTATAACAGTTTAATCCAATTTACCACCATTTTCATCATCTTTTTATTCCCATTCATAGTCACAGGTTTAATAAGTAAATGCATTAGGTACTTTTTGTATTTGCCATTAGGACCTTATAGCCTCTGATCAGCACCATGGACAGCGACTGCACTAAAACAACAGACTAAACTGGCCTGATGTTGCACAGTGGATGTTTCTTTAATGTTGGCTACATGATGTTTCTGAGGTCTTTTTTTCATGTCATTTATAAGCTTTTATTCTGAATATGCCATCACGTCCATCACAGTTTTGTAACATGATAATTGGCCTCTTTGCTTCCACTGAATTAATGGCTCTTAATACTGGTAATATGTGATCCAGTCAAGTGGGTAATTAGCATAACTCTGTATAATTGGTGACTGGTATTCTTCCAGAATACAAATTTGGGACACAATGCCACTACCTCTTATTATTCTGAATATATTAGGCAAATGAGAAAAAGATCATCTCATCTTTAACAAGTTACGTGTGTTGACAGACTGTTGTTGGACATCTAAAGCTGCCTAATAAAACAAAGACAGGAGCACAAAAGATTTAAATTTATTGACTCAAGAACATGATGGCATGATATAGAGCGCAAACAAAATATAAAGTACAATCACAACAGAAAAATGGCACCCAGCAGGAAGGAGGTAGGGTTACTTAAACAAAGGTAGAACACTCTCCAAGAAGACACCTAATTTACAAATAGCTTTTAACTTATATGACATTAATAACAATTAATTTAAACATAAATGGATGGGTTAATAATATAATCATGCCTTATCTGTTCTGCTCTATTACACTTAATGTCATTATTATGTTCTGACCATTTTCTAGTAATCTTTGTCATGTCTTCACGATGACGGTGGTAAAAATCCTTCAAATCAAGTAATCTAAGAAGAAGAAAAAAATCACTTTTTGGTTGAACTGCTTATTACTACTGTCCACACTAAAGCCATAACTTACGATGAAAAGTTACAAGTAGATATCAGTAGCACATCTGACTTAAACTGACAGACAATTAGAGAGAAAACCTCAAACAAAAAAGAATCATGAGATATCTGGTTTCTTTGGTTGTGCCTTGTGGAGTACTGTAGCTGCCCCCTTTTCCCAAAAATCGAATGAGTCATGGTCACAGGCAAATTGAAATAAACAAGCCTGAAAATAATGTTCCTCAGCCAGCCTCCTACAGCACTGACCAGCCAGCGCTGTATCAAACAGCCAGCCTGCCCCCCTCCCCCCCATTGGCTCGCCCCAAACCATGAGATATAGTTGTGGGTGGTGACAGAGAAAACGTCACACTGTCTATGATTTTCCCTGCTGCTTCCCGTTTTACACACAGCAATGATGGGAAATGAAACCTGCCCTGGCTTTCCTTAAAAGGAAGCGCAAAGGAGCATTCAATCAAAAAGTCAATTATTTGCTATAGGGCAAGTGTACGTCACATTCCCCTGAGCTATCACACTGCAGTGGCTGCATTGAACGGCAGCAAGTATATAAGAATTATGCTTCTCATTACTTCACTGGATATAAATTATGTTAATCATTACACAAATGAGAAAAATCATATCTCTTTATTGTTATTAAAGTTCAATCAGTTGACATAAACAAGTCTCCCCTCAAGTAAAAGATATAGACATAGGATGATATTTTTCAAAATGACCATTACATTATGACATTAATAATTCATGACCATAAAATGAACAAAATAATTCCAGCTTCTGTTATTTTCCCTTCGTCAACCCTGAGGCATGCCAAATCTCATATATTTTTGATTGTTAGGATTCACAATTGGGGCAAAAATATCTGTTTAGTGTTGCTGCTTGGTATTCTCTTCCCACACCCTTAGAGAAAAAGTCCATTAACATGAACTATTTCCCCACAACAGCTCTAATGAGATACAAACTGATTCCCCTGCAGCTAAAAAAAAAAGACCCTCAAAACAACAGCCCTAAAAATCGTCCGCATAATTATTAACACTTCTCCTGTAACAGCTGGTGAGCCTCTAGACTCAAGGGCATTTGGGAAGTGTAGTTAATCCAATGATAATCTTGAGCATGGTTTACACATATTATCGCTTTAATTGCTACGTGTGCTATGCAATTATACCGTCACCAATTACATGGCTATAGTTTACTAGCCTGTCTAAGCATTTGGTTCCCTCTAATAGATGCCCTTTATCAACGCACGCAAGTGAAGCCACCAAGACGTACACTAATGGTCTTCCATTGACATAATGAATTAATTATATGTTCTGAAGCAGAGTGGTGCGGGATAATGCTGAGCCATG